CAAACTCTCTCTATTTCCTCTTTCTCTTTTGTGAATGTGAGTGTGTGAGTGCGTTAAAATCACGCAAGGAGTGAAGAAAAAAAAGAAGGTACACACACTGCAGTCCACCCTAGCTTGCTTTTTTTGTTCTCTCTGAAAGCTGAAGATCCTCATTTTCATTATCTTATATCTCACTTTTTTCATCATCTTATATCTCATTTTCGATAATCTCACTTTTTTTCTTCTCAGATCTTCATGACCTCACTCACTCATTCCTCCTCATCTTTTTTTCCCGCTCATCTAAAAGGCCATGAAAAGAGGCGGAAATCCCAAAAAGCGACCCCCTCCGTCGCATACCCCACCGGCGGGAAGGCATCGAGCCACCGGTAATCCGACTCCATCTCCGGTAATCGAAACCCTAGAGGATGAATTTGTTGACGAAGATGTGTTCATGGACGAAGCCCTAATTCTCGGCGAAGAAGATGAGGAATCCCTAATTCTTCGGGATATGGAGGAGCATGAAGCCGTGTCTGCACGGTCTTCGACTTGGGCTCGACCTCCTCTCTCACCTGCTTATCTCTCGAATTCGGAGAGTATCAGTTGAGTTTTTTTATGTTACTGGATTGAAATTTCTAGGGTTTCTTCAATCTCATGATACTGGGAAGTGCTGAACATTATTTCGATTTTTGTTGTTGCTGGTTTGTTAGTTTTTCAGAAATTGGAGATTGATGATGTACTTAAAGAGAGTAACAAGGAGCTGTTACCGGNTTNCTCAGGGCAANCTGCAGTCATCAGGATTTTCGGTGTAACCAGAGAAGGTATCGTTTCCTTGTTANGCTTCTGTATCTTGTGGAGATGGTTGAACNTGANATGAATAACGATTTCCCATCATAGTTTAAGCTATATTTGTCATAGCATTTGCCTTTCGTTGTTGAACTTACGTTTCTGGTATATATTCAGGTCATATTCTGTGCTGCTTTGTTCATAAAGGCATACAACTTCATGGATTGGGTATGAAGAGCTTCCAAACATATATATGAGAGCAACATTGTTTTTGCTCTCCGTTTCATGGTTGATCGCGATATTGCGGGAGGAAATTGGATCGAAGTGCCTGCTGGAAAATATAAGAAAAACGCAAGAACTTTCACATACTGCCAATTGGAGTTCAATTGCCTGTATCCTCGTCTAAGAACTCTGAGTTATTTTCAAAGCAAGAATATGTTTATCGAGTAACATATTCAAATTTATGTCACGTCACTGCTTTCTTTAACATGAAATTTAGGTTCTCAGATTTGATCAGTCATGCTGCAGAAGGTGAATACTCGAAAATGGCTCCATTCCGTGTACTAAGTTTCGATATTGAGTGTGCAGGTCGTAAAGGACACTTTCCAGAGGCTAAGCATGATCCTGTGATCCAGGTTAGCTGTTCGTGCTATAATTTGATATCTATATTTGGTACCTTTATTCTCATCCCTCTTGAAACAACATTCTCATTGCTTTTCTAGATAACGAATCTTGTAACTCTTCAGGGAGAGGATCAACCATTTATACGCAATGTCATGACTCTTAAGTCATGTGCTCCAATCGTAGGCGTAGATGTCATGTCTTTTGAAGCAGAAAGAGAGGTTGTAATTGATTTTGCCTCCTTTTGACTATTATAACCATATGTGCACTACTTGCCCTTCATATATTTTTTTTCAACTTTTGACGCTTTAACTTGCACAACCAAGCTCTGTTACAGTTTTACCTTTTTTAAAACCTGGAGGGACTCGGTGAAGAATTTAGTAAATTTTATGTTGTTACTGCAATGTTTTGGTGAAGCATGTGTTCTTCTGATGGATAAGGTGTAATGGTTGCAGGATTTTATTCGTGCTCTTTCATTCGTATAGCATTCCATATGTATTATTTTGCTATGTTTCGCTCTGCTGAAGGGCACATGTACATATGACGATTTTACCTAGTAACTATGCTGTTTTCTGATTCTCAGAGAGCTGCAGCAATGGGAATAGAGGATTTTTCTCTTCTTGGTCGTGTAAAGAACAGTAGGGTCCAAGTCAAGGACTCAAGATTTTCGTCAAGGTGATGTAGAGCAACTGATGCTTGCAAACTGCTCGCTTTCTAATTTTTTTGTTGTGGCTTATCGTGGCTCATGAGTTCACTAAACTTGCATCTTATAATATTACATTACTTCCCGTAATAACATGTGCCATGTTTCAGACAACAAGGAACAAGGGAAAGTAAAGAGACCACTATTGAAGGGCGATTTCAGTTTGACCTTTTTCAGGTTTCTGTCCCTCTAGCAGTCTTTTTGGTTGAGCCATTCTTAGATTGTTCATTTGTAGTTCATTGCAAAGACATCAACTTACTTCTTTTTTAATTTATTGTAGGCAATACTTAGAGACTACAAATTAAGTTCTTATTCGCTGAATTCTGTCTCAGCTCACTTTCTTTCCGAGCAGGTGAAACTGAGTAATTATGCTTAGACTTTCCGGTTCGTTCTGTTTTTCTATGTGGCTAACATGATTGTCTTCCTCTTCTTCAGAAAGAGGATGTCCATCATTCTATAGAAAGAGGACAGAGTATCAAGGTAATTCTCAACTAATAGTTCCTGGATCAACGTTTCAGTTGGCTATGGTGGCTGATATATTGTATCCCAACATGTTATTTCTAGGTTCTATCTCAGCTTCTTAGAAAAGCTAAACAGAAGAACCTGGTTCTTCCGAATGCTAAACAGTCTGGGTCCGAACAAGAAGCTATGAAGGCGCAACTGTAAGTTGGTGATTTACGGCTCCAACATTTAATATCTGCCTCATGTTTGTACTGTTCTGACATGTCTGTTGTTTGCATGTTTCAAATGAGAATCAGGTTTTAGAAGCACGAACAGGTTTCTATGAAAAGCCAATTGCAACTCTGGATTTTGCTTCATTGTACCCGTCAATTATGATGGCTTATAATCTTTGCTACTGCACCTTGGTAATTCTTTCTGACATTTCTTGTAAACTTTTGTTCATTATATCATCCATTGTTCATACACCTTATTAATTTGGGAACATTATTTCCATCTTCTTATCTTTGAAGTTGACACCTGAAGATGTACGCAAACTGAATCTTCCACCTGAGCAGATCCATAAAACTCCATCAGGGGAAACATTTGTTAAGCAAGATTTACAAAAGGTTGCCGCTTTTTGTTGGATTGATTATCCCCAATTACCTTAAATTCTGTTGAACATTTTCTTTTAGGAAATGCAAAAAAAAATAAAAAAAATAATGATCTCAGGGAATATAGCGGCTTATTAACAGAACAAATAATTTATTTCAGGGTACACTTCCAGAAATCCTTGAAGAGCTTATTACTGCCCGTAAAAGAGCTAAAGCAGATTTAAAGGTAACTGAACTTTTGATTCTGAAGAGACTCTTGTAGTATGTTCATACCTGTATGCACTCTTTGACAACTACTATGGAAACTTGCATTGTCTAATTTAGGAGGCTAAGGATCCGCTTGAGAAGGCTGTTTTAGATGGTAGACAGTTGGCGTTGAAGGTGAACTTCTTACTGCCAGTTTATTTAAGTTGTTCATTCAGAAAATTAATTAGAATGTTGTTCAAACCTTTTCTCTGTAAATTGGTCTTTTACATTTGTTTTCTATTGTTGCCTCAGATCAGTGCAAATTCCGTTAGTATTACGTGATAGAGATGAATCAGTTAGTATTTTATCAGAAAGGCTGAATCGTACTCTGTTTCTTGATTGTGTATGATGTCATAAAGCCCATCAAATTGGAGTTTGAGAAGGTCTATTTTCCATATCTGCTGATTAACAAGAAGAGGTATGCTGGTTTGCTGTGGACAAATCCTCAAAAGTTTGACAAAATGGACACTAAAGGTAAATCTTCGTGATTTCACTGTTCTTATCTTGTTCATTTTCAGAATAAACATCTATATGACTGGCTTTGGCAGGAATCGAGACAGTACGAAGGGATAATTGTTTACTGGTCAAGAACCTTGTGACCGAGAGTCTTCACAAAATACTAATTGATAGAGACGTTCCAAGCGCAGCCGAGTATGTTCAGAATACAATTTCGGATCTTCTCATGAACCGTATTGACTTGTCACTTTTGGTGATTACCAAGGTAATATTTTTTTGCTTGATTTCTTGTCTTGTGATGTTTGTATCACCCGAAGTATATGGTCATGATTAAACTCCTATGAACCTTGGTGATACTATTATGTTGCAGTTAGCAAGGGTGAAGGACTCATTCAACTCCCGCCACCTTGATACTCTGGAGATGCTCGCAGATGTACTTATAGTACACATGAAATATGATGATGGGATGAGTACAGTTTCTGACGGCCTCATGATGAACATCAATCATACTGGAAATAGCAACTCCTTTAGCCCAAATCAAATGAGGTATACAATCGAGATAGTGTTTTCCTAGGCGACATGGTTTTATCTCTTTATAAATTTTTCTTGACTGTGGTGATAACAAGAGTTCTGCTTTCAAAATGGGTCGTACACTTGCTCAGAACAAAATGCCAGATAAGGTAATGGATACTTAAATACCCATTTCTTCTTCAGTTTCAGGTTACTGATTACAGAGATGATTGTTTAATATGGGCAGTTAGCAATGGTGAAGGACTCAATCAACCGAGGAGGGCGTGATAACCCAGAAGATGGTGATAACGGAGAGCCAGAAGATGGTGATAACGGAGAGCCAGAAGATGGACAAAACTTAAAACGCACAGAAGCCTGGTGGGACTATGAGAACGCCGGGATCACACGTGATTTTTTGATTATGCGGATTCAATAGCTAGCAAGGATGTAGTAGTTTACAACAAATTTGTAGACAAGCTGGAAAAACATGGCTTCCGCGCACCGGAGAAAATCAGGATAATCGTAGGTTACTTTTGCACTTCTGTACCCGATTAGTTGAGGCAAAGTAACCTCTTTTCAGTGCAGACTGCCAGAAAATCCATGAGTGAGTTCTC